ACGAAAATTCTCGTCCGAGGCCTTCTCATAATTCCAAGGGCTCGACATTGTTCCAATATCCACCGACTTATACGACTTTCGGGGTCTCGTTCAATTCTTTAAAAATTAAAGAGGTCCCGAATACATTTACGTCACATAAAATCATAACGAAACACATAATCGCACATATTCACGTCTCGCAATTCATATATATATTAAATTGTTCAACAAGCACTTCTCGACAATAAACACATAAGGAAATAAATCATATATGAGTTAAACGAGACGGAATCGACGAGGTACCGTTCTCGGGGAAAAAACTCGAAAAACGAAACGAACAAGACGAGCGGGGATGACGGGCTCTCGTGTCTCGCCGGGAAAGGAGGTGCTGCAGCGGCTGCGTTCTCGGCTACTTGGGTTGCTGCGCGACGGAGAATGACTCGACGGAGCTCGTTGGTCGTTGCGGCGGTTCACAGCTGAGGAGGTGGCCGCTGTTTCTCGTCGGAAACGGCTCGCGGCGTGGAGGGAGAGAGCCCAGCGAACAGGGGCTCGCCGTGCGGGAGAAGCTCGCGACGTGCTTGCCGGATCGCCGGAGGGAGAAGCTTGCAGCGGCTTCGTCGGGAGTTGCAGAGTTCACCGGAAGGCCTGATTCGCGGCGGCGATAGAGGAGGAGGTGACCGGCGACGATGATCAGACGATGATGACGGGATGAAGGAAGGAGGACGAGGTGATTGGCTGGATAACAAGAACCGACAGCAAAAAGAGAAAGGGAGATGGAGACGGTGATGATCGATCGCGATCTGAATAGGAGAAATATTATCACGAGAGGAAGATGAAGAGAAAATCTGATTTCTAACGTGAGTTTTTGATGGCTGCGGGATTTGGGATTTGTGAAGGGAACCGAGACAAACATATACTATTAGGTTTTAAAAGTCTTGTTGACCAAGACAAAATAAATCCCAAACACAAAACTCACGCATGAAAGAAAAAGAGGAGAAAAATCTGTCGGGCCGGGCCCGAGTAATTGGGCCGAATTTTCGTGCCTCTTGGGCTGGGTTTGTGACATTTAAATCGGCTCACGGGCCGGTTTGCGAAAATAAATCGACTCACTGGCTCGATTTCGGTTCCTACGAATATTCTCGGGCCCGATATAAATTCAAACGCGCGATAAAATAAACAAAACTCCGGACAATATAAATTAAATACGTACATTATTTTTAAAATACTAATATTATTAATCAAAATATACAATTAGCAATTAATTGGCACTTAGACATACAATATTTAGACATTCAAATTTACAAGCAATAATTAATAATAACACAATAATAATAATAATAATAATAATAATAATAATATAATAATAATAATAATAATAATAATAATAATAATAATACTAATAATAATAATAATAATAATACCAAATAATCATAAATAAATCTCAAATAAACCACAATTAAATGGGGCATTACAGTCTACCCTCCTTAAACGATTTTCGTCCCCGGAAATCAAAGAAAATCATCCCAACAGGACAACTGACACACGAGAGAAGCTCAAACCACTCAACTCGGATACTCCGTCCGAATCTTCCCATTCTACCAAGTCACACCGCACTAGCCATGGTTACCCCGCCGGACTTTGACGAGTACCTCTTCCGGACTCTCCCTACTGGATTCGTCAACCTAGTAGGTCACCGATACCTCATCAAAGGTAAGGTTCTGCCCACATGCAACTCGTCAAAGATCGCCTCGTGCCTAGAGTCGCGCACCTGTCCCCTCTCCACAAGGCACTGAACAGGTCGTGCACTCTTGCAAGCTCCGGTGATGGGGTCAACCGTCAGGCTAAGACGTCGACTCGGTCGAGAATCACGAAAGGACAAACAAATGTGGCTGATACTTCCTCTCTTTCTAGAACTCGAGGCGTACAACGCCTCTTTCCATACTCAGAACCTCGTACGGTACCATCAAGATCGTCGCTTATTAGCCACCGCTATAAGTGCCTTTTCTTATGGTAAGAAAGTTCCACACGACACACCCATTGAGTACACCAGACTCCAACCAGTCTATCAGGGTCTCGACAGCATGTCCTAAACGCATAACTATCTTGATTTCTACGCGGTGCCAAGTTCAGTCTCGTGCCCGGGTAACTTGCCCACGATCCCAACGAGATCCGTGCGTCCGTATCAAACGGGCCGCCACGGGATCTCATAAAAAGGCTAACAAAGCAACAATAACACCACAAACTCAACACTGATACCTACAGAAGCCACGGTTCTACTCGATATCGGTGACAAAGACACATTCCCTGCCGACACGAGTAACAGCTCGTATGCGGTATAGGAAGTATCGACTAGATATTCGAAAACAACTTCTATCGCAGAAACCGGCTCTCAAATAGGGATGCTCGACGATCCCATTATAACGATCTAAAAGGACATAGCCAGTCCGAGGTTTCATGCATTGTCACCCGAGAGATGTCACACACACTGGCGCTGCATAAGCGGGGCGCTGGAACATGTGCGTACATCTGTTCGGAGAACAACTGCAAGGTCAAGGTTTCGGCCGCACACTGGCTTGAGGAGCTCCTGCGTTCGGTGATGGTGGCTGCAGCTCTCGTGCGAGTCAACGATTGGCCCTGCAGTGCCTGACGTCTCTCAGCACAGGCTCGCGTGCTCGACCACCACTTCGCGTGACTACACCCAGTCAGCGTCGGCATTCGTTCGAGGTACAGAAAAAAATTAATCTAATTTAAGGCTCACACTATCTGAGGTAGCCTGGAAGGAAAGGTTTTTACAAAACCGATCAACATTAGGATATAACAAAGACATCATCCCCCAGCATTTAGGTATCGACAAACTCGGATGGTTCAGGGCTTCCAAATCATCACATCCTTCCCCGAGCCATACAACTTCAAGCGGATAACATATATTAGAGTTATGGAGGAATCTCCTAAGGAAGACGAGTATCGGCATCCTCAGCTAGGAATCATTCTAACTCAACCGTCATTGCCGAATAATGAAGATGATCAGCTCGCATGACTCTTCTGACTAGCAGTGTCGGCCGTCACGTCAGCTCTATCTCCGGTAGCTAATCGTGCCGGCAGTCCTATACGAGCTCAATTTCTACTCTGCTAAGATTTTCACGTTTCTGGATCTCATCACGAAGCCTCCTTAGTTGATTCGTCTCGATCGCATCTTGAATATAGGTCAACAACGATAAAAATAAAACACGACGAATCGATCTGGGTATGAATGGAGTACCCAGACTGAAATGGCATCACCAAAATCGAAAGAAACGATATAAGACAAGCAGTAAAACGAAAGTACTTGTCTTAATTAATATATAAGGTTGCAATTTCTCAAATGAAGACTCCAAACAAATCAAATACTAGAGTTTTCAGAGGGTTGCCAAAAGTCCAAGAAATACAAGAGTCGCTCTTGAAATTTCGAAGGGAGAAGAACGGAAGTTTCGAAGAATTACGATGGACACGACACGAAAATGAAAACGGCTCTGCATCAGGCTCGACTACCCTCCTTAAAAGATTTTCACGTACACCACTTTGGTTCAAAGTTAAAACAAATCACGAAAGAAATTGATCGCCGTCTATATCGAAGCTAAGGTATTCTCAAGTTAACCTATGTCTTGACTTGGCAAACATTATGACAGATAGGGCCTCAAAACATCGGGGAAAGAAAATTTGAAAGAATTGCTCAAGATACAATAAGCAAAGGAAAACAGGCATATTGGATATCGAAGACCTTCCGGACATGGTACCTGCGTTGTTGGCTGCCTAGTCGTGGGTTATGGTGTAGACGCGGGCATGGCCTTCTGTCTCATGTTGGTAAAGCGGGGGCTATCTGGGCTGTTGCTGCTGCTGATGCTGATGCTGATCCGGCCTTCGCGGTTCTGGGCAGTGACGGGAGTAATGACTCATCCTCTGGCAGTTGAAGCAAGTTATGTCGACAGCTCGACACATGTTGACCTCGTGGACTCGCCTGCATGCTCCACACGGCGGTGGTCCTGCTGGAAACTGGCGGATATGCTGGGTATTTTGTGCCACAAGCTGCTGCTGAAGCTGGTGTGGCCCATGGTTAGGGCGCTTGCCCTTCTTGCGGTTCGGATGATCATTCTTTCTCTTGCCAGAGCTAGATGACGGGGGAGCTGAAGCATTCAGAACCGTGTACGGATAAGGCGCCTGAGCAATAAGCGGCAGCTGATAAGACAAAGGCGGGATGAGAGGAGGTACAGCCTGGGCAGGCTGAGTAGCATGATGAACAGAAGGAACAGGATCTGTCGGGATGAGAAAGCTCTCCACTCTCTGAGCCCGACTGACGGTGTCGGCATAAGACATCAGTCCGTGACTCCCAACTAGCTCACGGATTCTCGGATTCAGTCCTTTTAAAAATTTATTGGCTTTCTTCTCATGGGTGTTCACAGAATCACCAGCAAAAAGGCACATTCGGGTGAAAGTGTGGATGTAGTCGTCCACGCTGGTACTGCCCTGCTGAAGATGGTAGAACTCATGCTCCATGCGATCCCAAAAACTCTGGGGAAGGAACTTGCCACGAACCATTGCCTTCATCCGCTCCCAAGTGAGAGCATTGAGCTCAGCCTCTGGCCTCCGAGCCCAGTGGTCGACCCACCAGTCGGAAGCATCTGCCTTCATCTGGAAGGCGGCAAGAGCTACTCGCTGCCTATCAGGTAGAGGGAGTACAGCGAATATCTTATCGAGCTCCTTCATCCACTCAAGCACAGCAGTGGGGGCCTCACTCCCCGATAAAGTGGGTGCGTGCATGCCCTGAGACTGGACTATGAGTTGGGGAAAATCCATGGCCGGAGGGGCCTGCTGGCGAGGTGGTGATGGAGGTAGGGTTTGTTGACGGTTGCGGGCATTGCGATTACAAGTGGCCATGGTTCTACATTGAACAAGCCGGAAAGGTTTAACACCCAAAACAAAATTTAAAAAAAAAAATATAGGGAATCTAGAGTTCACCATGAAACACTAGAGTTCAAAATCATTCAATGGTGGATAGACTCCACTCCCGGTTCCCATTGACCGGGTTCTACACGCGTCTAATAGTTCTATCCACAATAGTCACAGACTTCCGAATAATCCACACACCTGGGACTCCTTTGGTTGTCTGTTCCCTTTACTTAAGCCTTCTCTTTCGAGATGGATTACGAATGGTTCTCATTCGATGGTACTAAACAGAAACTCATAACGAGTGCACTGCTATAGACCAAACTAAACTTGATAACACCAGCCCGAAAACTCACAACAAACATCTCTAAGGTCGGCACTTAACCCTACACCACTAGAGTTCAAGTCCGTATAAACGGAGGGTAAATTTCTTAGCCCCAATAAAAGAACAAACCATAATCACGATATCGATAATAATCAAAACAATAAAACTCATACCTTGAGCTGGCGCGGCGTGACGAAGCGAGTGGTCGAATGGTCATTAAACACTTAATCACATATGAACCAGTCTACAGAAAAGCAAGACTGTCTCTGATACCAAACTGTAACGCCCCGTTTTATTTTAAGGAATTTACCGAATTTATTTAATAAAAAGCATAGTATTTTTTTTTAAATCCAAGTTAAAACATTTATCGAAAAACGGACGCTACTTACTATCCACAACAAACAAATAATAACACCAAATCAATCAATCGATAGAACCTACACATGCTCGAGCTATCAGAATAACAATCTTATTAATCATAAATTTTAAAACCATTCCCAAACGATTAGCATGAAAGCAAGGTTCAAACGAAATTCAACATAGCTCGAAAACGACGAAACAAATAATCCAAAGTGCGATAGCAAATAGATAAATATCAAGTTTATGCGGAAGCATAGGTTTTCAACACATAATGACCACCATCTCGCTCATCCTACGCCACCGCCTCCAGCTCGTCTCAACCTAGATCAAAGGAAGAGAGAAGACAACAAGAAAATAATGGGGGTGAGCAACCAACAAGCTCACCATTATCGCACAGTTTGTCTTGCATAACATTTTAAACCATCATAACCATAGTATTCAATATGCATAGAATCCAACAGTCTAACTCCCTACTTGGCCATATCGCAAACCTCCTATGTACATACAACAACTTATGTGGTTATGTCGGGCAGTACTAAATCTCCTACATTGTATTTAACTAACACTTGTAACATCCTTTTTTGGTAGGAATTCCCGCCAGCAACACACCACCATTACCGTGGTGTGGTGCTGCCACAACGGTGCAGTATTGAGACTATCGAGGGCCGTAAATATGAGGCGACATTGGATATGGTCAATAACTGCCCGACATTAACGGATGGCTGGAGAGATTTCGTTCTTGCAGAAGACATAGCCCTATTCTACTTTCTGGTGTTCCGTCCCGGGACCATTTTCGACTTTGAAGTGTTGGTGATGGAGCCCAATGGTTGTGAGAGGCTACCACATTACACGTTTAGTCTCGAGATAAAGCCAACTCATGTGGAGCGTGCACGTCTGGTATGTTTTTTAATGTAATATTATAATTTCATTAAAATTGCATATTTTATAACATTGTGTTTAACATCTATTATATATTAGTTAATCCCAATGCAATTCTGGAGGGATAACATTGAAGGCAAGTATTTGAATTACAACTCCGCAATGTTGAAGTTTGGTGATATTTGGTATGACGTCGACATAATACATGGACATGGGAAGAAACTGTTACAGAATGGTCGTGCACGACAATTCATCGATAACAACGACATTGTTGTTGGTGATGTTTGCACGTTCTTTCTCCTCCCACATGATGAAGTCATAAAATTCAAAGTCAAAATGTAGAGAAAGTGTAATACGTAGTGGACCTTATGCACTTTGGGGTTGATGTTGCAGACTTTTGTGGATGATGTTACGAACTTTGTTTTTTATTTATTTCGCTTTTATTGACGATGTTGGAATTATGGATCTGGTTATCGTTGCGAACTTTGTTTTTTATTTATTTAGCTTTTATTGACGATGTTAGAATTACGGATTTGGTTATCGTTGTGAACTTTATTTTTGATTTAATTAGCTTTTATTGACGATGTTGGAAAAATGGAGGATTTTGGATATCATTTTTTTATATTTTGGTTGTTAATTCTTTTCGATTATATTTTGTTAATGGCTGCTAAATTACAAACATTACACAGGTGAATATGAACATAGAACACAGGAGAAGGAGACGTATAGAACACAACTTAATAACACCGATAAGCAATAACACCGACAAGCGTACATTAGATAAGACAAGCATAACATAAGAGAAGTGAACATAGAATACCTAAACAACTCAGACGGAACCTACTACGTGCTCATTAAAACCATGACAAACAAACTAAAGAGTACAACCATAAAAACAACCAATACAGTGACGGAGCTAGTACCACGGCCATTCAGGCGGCGTGAAATCCATAGGGGTAGCAGAACATGCAGTGGACGAAGAATTTAGTTCCACTTCATCCGCATGGCTCTGAGTAGAGTTGTAGTATGTCGGTTGGTTGACAGATCCATCAGTTGACCTAATCTGGCTATGGATGGAATGCTCTTGTTGTCGGGGCTTTGAAGTGCTACCCAGATAGAAGGTCGGACGTGGTGGTTGTTTTTTACGTGGGATGTGGGTTCGAACAGGGTACGACACTAACCTACTCGGAGGGGAATGTTTTGGGGTGTAGTCCTCAACATCAATAGTTTGAAGAGTTTTGTTTGCGGCCATTGTTTGCATTCCTATTGTGTTCATTATCACTGTCAGACAAAATATGGTACTCGAAAGGAGGTACGTACGTCGGCTCCACATGAAACAACTCCACAATTTTGTCATGCTGCGGATCACCGTCCTTCATGTACGCCACCGAAAATTCATCCCAATACATTAAATATTGATTAGTTTGCAGCTCTAACGTGTGCGTAATAAAGCAAATGGCAAATCATTGATAAAACTCACATCTACCAGTTGATACCAAGTCTTGTTCGAACAATGGTACTTGTTTTGGCCGGCATCGTATTGCACACCATCCTTGACTTTAAGGGATGTGAAAACATCATGTTGTTTGGCTAAAATATCAACGCGGCTTCTTATGTACTCCGTCGTAAAGCTCTTACGATGATACGAATTTATTGCTTTCGTAGTATCAACGATGGAGTCAGTATTAGCTGCAGCAGGAACAAACTGACCACACAACTTCTCATCAAGCAAACAATCGATTAAGAACTCATCAAGTTTTGGTGTCCAATATAGGTCGTTCGGGTAGTCAGCCTGCACTACACCAAAATCAAGAGTCATCGCAAATTATGAAATTAAGCTAAGTAATTTATTTTTATGAAATTTAATCTTTCACAACTTCCCTCTACGTTTCTGGATATGTTTGTTGTGCAGTGGGCTGTTTATATAGGAAAATATCATTATTGCGGATATGTAATGCATTGCCTGACATGTACACATGGTAAACATGCTCGTGAAGCCTTAGTCCTATCTAGTCAGCTTTGCAGAATAAGCTTAAGCATAAAAGTAGACCTGCAACCATGTGCAGATGCTAAACAAGCTCGTGAAGCCTTAGTCCTATCTAGTCAGCTTTGCAGAATAAGCTTAAGCATAAAAGTAGACCTGCAACCATGTGCAGATGCTAAACAAACTCTTGAAGCCTTAGTCCAATCTACTCAGCTTTGCAGAAAAAGCTTGAGCCTACATGTAGACATGCAACGTGTTGTCATACCTGTGCTAACAATTATAAATTTTTTTACTATATAGTTTAGTTGAATGGTGAATTAAGCCTTTACACAATGGTAGTTGTACGTAGATATTGACCAGTAGCTTTGTTGTTGGTAGGGGAATGGTCATGCAAAACAAATACTGTATGCTCACATGCATTAACTTGTACGCATGGGTTCAACAGCAAAAGTTGCTTTCACTTTTAGAAGATGTAACAGTGCTCTTTTATCAGGGCAAGTGAGATATGCAGAGGGTTGATAAAAGACGTTTTCTGCATGTGTTTCTGACCCATTGATGGAATACTACCTTAGTTGCATTGACTAGTCTGTATCGGATTACAACTTGTATTAACCTTAGTTACACACAATTATAGTAAATACTACCTACGTTTTCAAGTTACACAAATATGCGTATTTCTATGGTTTCAATTTTATATCATTCATGTGATATGTTTTTAATAAAAAGGGAAACAAATACGAAAAACAAACGAAATTTCATTAAAACCATGGTTGCATTACATACTGTTCTGCCGGGACATACAAGCTAAAGTTTACATAGCAAAAATACATCAAAACACCAATACATAAGAGTTGTTGGATAATTTGATACATATTATGCTCATTTCATGATAAACATCCACACCATTGACATTACAACTAAAACCAGTAAAAATCTATTCTTCTGCCTCAAATGTGCATTTTCTTTTTCCAGTTTCTTCATCTTTTTCATGTACCTCTCCTTCCCTTGGAGTTCATTTGCAGGTTCGACACTCTGGCGATTTGTTTCAGCTTCTAACCGATTTATTTTACGCAACAAACCGGGGGATTATCTCTTTTGATCTTGCACACATCGAAGGGTCAAACCAATTCCAGAAGCGACAAGCTTTTTCGGCACAATCGAACTACCTCCTTCCTGAGTTGGCAGGGGTCCATGCAGTTTGTAGACGAGCAACCTTACCGCAGTCACACAAAACACCGGGTACCAACCTTGATGAACTTGAATAACTCATTTCTGTTTTACTGTCTAATCCTTTCCTCCTTAGTAAACGACCCCTAAAGATATGAAATGATTTATATCCTATATATATTTTTGTATTATTCGAATAATCACATCCACTAAAGTAGGTAATTGACTCTTTCTTGCAGGTAGGGCTGCAAACGAACCGAGCGGATCGCGAGCGCTCGAGTCCAATCTCGACTCGAGCTCGAGTTTGACCGAACTCGATTCGAGCTCGAGCGGCTCGAGCACGAACTCGAGTCGAGCTCGATCCCATATTTTTTCTTGTCGAGCGGATCGAGATACACGTTAAGTTACTAAAATACCCCTTATTATATAAATTAGCATAGGTATTTAATGGTAATTTTACCTTTCCACTTAAAAATTTTCGAGCCGAGCTCGAGCATTTTGATTCCGAGCCGAACTCGACCCGAGCTCGAGCTATTATATTTTTTTATCGAGTCGAACTCAAGCCTCAAAAATCGAGCTCGGCGAGCTCAAGCTCGAGTAGCTAAAAAAAAACTCAATCCTGCTCGATAAGGTCAATGCTCGACTCGGCTCGGCTCGTTTGCAGCCCTACTTGCAGGTATGGAATATGAGGACTCTATTTAGAATAATGATAAAAAATAATGGGAAATTGATTTCACGTTTTAAAGTTATATGTCAAAGATTCAGCCGCAACTTACGTATATGAGGACTCTATTTAGAAGATTGTATTTAACATGTGTTTAGAATGGCATATCTATACTTAAATTTATGAATTTGATTTTTATTATTCTCCAACTTTTGATATCAATTGCCCATTAGGATTACATTAGAAACGTGTTAAAACTAAGAAGTAAAAAAAAAAATTAAAATCATTTGGCAGATTATCTTCCAAATTCGACAACTCTGCGCGGTCAAAAAATCAGGGTATAATCACGTGAAAATTTGTTTAACAATTAACAAATAACAATATCCTATTAACAATTAGCAATATCCGATTGTTTACTAAATAACAATATATATTTGTTTACCAAAATCTTATCCAACAATATATATTTGTTTACCAAAATCTTATCCAATTGTTTATCTTATCACGTATCAATTAATAATTAACAATATCTTGTTGTTTAGCAAAATCTTATCACTTTACTTAACAATATCTGGTATTTATTTTTAATTGCATGCACGGATTATTTCAAATAAATTGCATGGGCCAGAATGCAAAATAAAATCAAAAATCTTTACCAAAATGGTAAAAAATAAAATAAAAAAGCGGGAAAACTACTTTATATTATTGAATTATTTTAGAAATATTAATTTTCCTTAACCGTATTATATAGTAATAGATTTGGTGACAAAAATTAAGAGATAAATCTGTAGCTGGAAATAAAAATCTTTACTTGCAATAAAGTTGGAATAAAGGAAATAAAAATCTTTACTTGTGATAAAGTTGGAATAAAATAAATCAGCTGGCATAAGTAGTAGACAGGAAATATCTTATACATATTTGTGTACTTTAGCGAATAAAATTTAGGAGGCAGTGTTAAATATTGAATTGGACGATTAATTAAAATTTATGGGCGAAAAGTAATTATTGTTGTTTCGTTTTTATGAGAAATTAAGCGGCCCGCCACTGACAAGTGAATATAACTGATCATGTTATATGGTCATGTAGACGTGAATCTTTCCATTCATTTATTTTAATATTTGCTTAATTACACCTCAATTATTTTCTTTTTCCATAAATCTATAGGACTTGTTTATTTCCATAAGTAATTGTATTCAAAATAGATAAACATGCAGGGCAACAATAAAATTATGGTTAAATATATACAATAAACTAATCAAAAGCATTTGAGAATAATTATTTCAGTTTTGTAAGCCATGACTGCTGATTTACTAATGTTATTGATTATTTTTTATAGTGTCCTTAATTTGAGTAGCTGATTTCTTAAATATTTTGTTTTCAAGTAAAGGAAAATATGTGTGTGTGAAAATGTAAATTAGGTGCGGATCCACCGCCCCACTTTCTCTAATTAATAAAAAAAAATGGTTTACACATCCTAGATNAAAAAAAAAAAAAAAAAAAATTAATCATAAATTATTGGCCAATTGG